TTTTTCGCGCCTCTGTCCTTTTCCGTTTCTCCTACCTTCAGCACTTCAAACGACGTTACTGAAGTGTGTGCAGCTGTGTATGTGTAGTGTATTGTTTTTTTGTTTCATTGTTTGTTTGTTTGTTTTCATTTTGTCCTTGCACTAGATGCTTGCCGTCAGGAAGTTTTCTTCAGCTTTTTCTTTCCCCCTCCCCGTTTCTCTTCCCTTCCTGCTTTCCTTCTACCGGGGACCTTTTCACTCTTGCTTCTCTCCTCTATTTATCCGCGTGACGGGAAAAAGGGAAAACGGGGGAAAAAAGAGTCTAGGGCAGTTTACCACCACGACTCCTTTGGTCTTTCCCGAAGCTGGCAGTCCACCGCTGTCGAGAGAAGTGTCGTGCGCCCTGCCTCGCATACCTCACGATGGCCAGACGCGGTGGGGAGGAGGGAAGCTCCTGTGGGGCCTCGCCGGTGTCCGTGCGGGAGTCGCCTATGCATCTGTATCCAAAGGGAAAACCTCGCGTGGAACTTGGACTCGAGGAGGGGGGATTTGAACCCAACAGGCGCAGTTGCACGGTAAACTTCCGTCTAGGCAGCTGGAACTCCAATAGTAGAGCGGTAGCGGGGAATGAAGGGGGCCATCCGTTTTCTGACTTATCCTTGTCGTCTCTTAAGGTTTCGCCGCCGCCTCGCCATGCAACAGCGACCCACGAAAGAATAGCTGAGGAGGCCACCGTAGAAAGCGCCTTCTGCTGGGAGCAGGCAACGGTTGCACCTGCCGATAGCCACCAGGCAAACAGAGACATTTATTCAAGCCCCCAGCCCAAGGATGTTTTGGAGAGTTTCTCTCAAGGTATTGCCGCCAGAGATGCGGTGGAACAGTCTTCTTCGACGTTACTCACCGATGACCAGGGCTTGCCCCATGGGGAATATGCATTTTTACGGAGTTCCACACACCGAGGCCACTCGGTTCCGGTTTCATTAGATAGGTTTGGCAAGACGCCCTACTTCTCACGGGCCCGTTCTGTGCATGCTGCAGGCACCATATCTGCTTCAAGGTTCTCTCCAACAGCCCCGGGTCATGTTGAGGTCGAAGGGGCATCGGGAATATGCACCATGGGACCGAGTCCAGCAACCTCTTCCTTGGCGCATGCGTTGTTTCCGCGCTTGACTCCCGGAGAAAATCCTGTGGGATCACCCAACATGGGAGATGGAGTGGACGCCACGGTTCCGAAATTTACCCTTGGTCATTATATCTTGAGCCGTTCTAAACCAGCTGTTCGTGGGCGACCACTGTCCCGGCCACTCTACCCTGTTTTCATAGTGCTGGTTCTTCTCCCGTTTCTGCTTATTGCCTTGCTTTTTGGATTACATTATTGGGCAAACACAGAATTGATATCCAAGCTGCATACTCAAATTCGCAGCAGTTCACGCGCTGGTTCTCAATGTGATAATGCTTTCTTCGGGGAGCAGTCTCGTCGAATTAGCTCCATGTCAAGAGACGGCTTTATACTCATGCTGGGCATTCTGCTGGCTTTTGTCATTCTTGTGGTTGGAGGCGCCTTCTTTATTTGGGTGCTTCTATGGCGATCTGTGTTTTCAACCTACTTTCAGACGCTTGCGTTTATTCGGGGAGCGGCGTTGAGGCTATCGAAAATCGAGGCCCTCGGGCCGGAGGAGTTGGCACGGGCTCCAAGGCCCATTCTACCCTTCCTTTTCTGCTGCAGGGCCACGGGGAGGAAGAGGAAAAGGACGGTGTCCGAAGGGATAGTTGAAGAGGCTGTAAAGCTGGGGAGGATTCTGACTGATCTAAAACGGTACGTTCCAAGCACAGGGCGTGGCGACATAGTGACTGCCGCTCTGTGTGGTCTCAATCCCGAAGGCTCGACTACCGTGAATATTCTTGAACTCCAAAGCGATCGTGCCTCTGGGGGTCCCTCGGTAAGGGAAGAGTCTCCGGTAAGCGCTGGCAATCTCAATCCCCTTCGATTGGACGCCCAAACGTCTTCAGCTGCCTCTGTGCGAAGGGACACGTTGGGATTTGGTGGCGAACCTCGTCGCCGGTACGGGAGTGAAACCCCCTGGGAGGATAAACACGTGACGGGAGACGCGGAGAGCAACGCAAATTTGAGCGCCTCCTGTCATCGATGCATTTGCTCTACAAGAAGTGCGTCGCTTAACCTAAATGTTTCCATGAGTACCAACTTGGCATTCCTGCCTGGGAGTTCCCGTCATTCCCTGTTTTGGTGTTCCAATCGGGAACGCTCTTCTTCCGAGGCCGCTGGAGCGAGGATGGCAGAGTTGAATGACCAAAGTCCCTCGGTGCGGCAAGTAACTTTTATGGTCTGTCGTTTATTTTTACCAAGGTTGGAGTTTGATTCTGACGATTCCGTAAAAATCGACTGTGTACGTCAAGTGGAGGGGATGTCACGACGATTTCTGCGCACTGTGTTACGTGTGACGAAGGAGGAGCGCGGCCTCCCATTTGATATTCGCCTGGATTCTGTCATTCTGCTCTTTTACACCCCGTCTGGACCCAACTCCGTTAATTTGATCCAGCCCCGTAACTGTGCATTGAGGCTGGTCTCGGAACTCTCCAGGCCTGAGTTAGACCGGGGCGCCACTTCATCTACACAAATGCAATGGGGCATTGCAATGCACACGGGCTCGCTAATGGTTGGTGTAAGCAATACGACCTCCCGCAGGTTTTCGTTTGTTTATGGGGAGGAACTTCAGTTGGCGTATCGTGTGGCGGAATTGTGTAGAATCCTAAACTGCCCTCTGATCATGCTGCAGGCGTGCTATGAACTTTTTCGTGTCTGTATTACGGCTGTACCGGTAGATGTCATCTACAACGAGACGTTTCGTGGAAAAGGGCCCATTTACCTCTACGAGCCAAAAGCACCGGAGGAGGAAGAAGACCTTGACGCCAAACGGGAATACTACGAACCTTTCACGGAAGCCTTTGGTTTACTGTGCGGAAGGCAGTTTGCAGATGCCGCGAGAAAACTTGAGGGGATTGTAGATTTGGATCACAATGTAAAGCGACTGCACCGTTTGTGCAGCTACTTTCACCAGTTGCAGAATGAGGGGAAGCTCGATGCAATCCTCTCCCCCAACACGACATACCTGCGTGAAGGACCACATTGGGGACTTCTCCAGGAAAAGGTCCAGAAGTTTTTGAAGGAGTCTTGCTTGCAGGAGGAGCAGCAACGCGTATGTCGGTGTGGAAGTACGCCTGACAACAGAGAAGAGAATGTGGAAAATGCCGTGAACAGTTGTCAGGCATTTCGATGTGTTGGGAATGGACGAGAAATGGGCGATTCAGAGAGTGTAGGGTCCTGTGGGACGCACTCTGGCTCCACCTCTCTCCACCCTGGCGCAGCAGCTGAGGACGAAATTGCCTTGCTCCCGAATGATCCCGTTCCACCACTGAGCCCCCTCTTTGGTGTGACTACGCCACCGTTTAACGCCTTTCATGACGGCGATGATCAGTCAAGTTATACAGCACAACCTGCGTCGAAACTCGAACATGGTGAGGGCCATGAAATTGGCGTTCGTTACAGTTCCGGTGCAGAGGTTTTGCCTGGCATGTATTCTGCAGCGGAACTTGACAGTGAGTTTGCTCCTCACCATTGCTCTGGCGCCGACGATATCGCCAGCTACACCTGGGGGCACAACGACGACAGCAACAAGGCGAAGAAAGGCAAGCACGTGTTTTATGTTTATGAGCCTCTGGGCCGCGGGTCGTTTGGAGTCGTTTACCGGGGGCTTCACCCGAATGGCTACATTGTCGCCGTCAAGGCATACCCCGTCACTGAACAGGATGCAAATAACGTGCGAACTCAAATTGCGCGCTCTGAGATTAAAATGTTGTCCAGTTGTCGGCACAAGAATATTGTTCGCTACATAACAAGTTTTTACCAAGCTGAGCACTTCTACACCATTACGGAATTTGTCTCCGGCGGTTCGCTCACTGCGCTTGTGAATACTTTTCAACGTCTTCCACACAACGCCATTAGACGCTACACCGGTGACATTCTTCGCGGACTTCAGTACCTGCACGGGCGTCGCCTGGTCCATCGAGACATTTCCCCAAACAACGTACTTGTGGACATTGACGGGGTGTGTAAACTCAGTGACTTTGGGGGGGTTGTGGAGTACGCCTTGCACCCAACCGACCGGGGCGCTGAACACACGCCAAAGATTGCCGCGGGCGTTTGTGCCCAGACGGGCGTGATACTGACCTCAGAGGAGGTGGCCTCGGTGACAGGCACTGTGATACTCAAGAACTGCTTTGGAACCCCTGTCTGTATGTCGCCAGAGGCCTGCTCAGGGGTTGTTGACCCCAAAAACGATATCTGGGCACTGGGCATCACGCTTTGTTTCTGCTTCTCCGGCCGGTTTCCGTGGCCCGAGGAGGAGATGTGCGACGTCGCAACCTTTATTGACAAGGTCCGCAGTGGCGTTCTCATCCCTCAGGTGCCGTACCACACGATGGACTCTCAGGCCGCAGACTTTATTGGGCTGTGTCTTCGGAGAGACGTGGCTTCTCGTCCATCAGCGCATAAATTATTGTTTCATCTCTTTGTGGTAAGCTGAACGCAAATGGCCCACATGCACGCTTCCAGTGAGGGTCAATATCTGTGGAGTAAGACAACCACAGCCGGAAACGAAAGGGAAAAAAGCAAGTAATGAATGAACAGAGGAAAGTGTTCTCCTTGTCCTTTGTTGTTGTTATCTTTTTTTTTCAGAAGGAAGGGGTGAGAAGGAAATCTGACAAAAAAGTGATAACACTAAGGCTTTGTGTTCCCTCTGCAGCATCGGTTCTGTGTCGGACCTTTCTGTGCAATCCCTGCCTTCTTGTTGTTTTGTTTTTATGAGTTCTTTTGTGTGTGTGTGGGCGCTCTTGGTATTATTTTGCTCTCTGTGGGTGTGCTTGTGGGTGTTTTTGAAGCACTTATATATGTGATCGATGGGGTGCGCTGTGTGTTTGTTTGCTTTCTTCCTCAAGTCCGTGGGTTTTACCTCATGTAGTTTGTTCTGCCTCCTCCTAAGTGGCTCTTCCCCTCATCTCTATGTTGCGTCTCATGAATATCGCCTGGCAACTTTTCATCTTTCGTGTGCATCCTTTGGACTCATTTGTGGGGGGCAAATGATTTGTTTCCGCCGTCTTCACACGCACACACGCATTCCGACCAACTCTCCCACGAGAGGGGGCGGAAGAAGTCTGAGCCGCTAGTTTTATTATATATATATATATATATAGATGGATCGTTCTTTTTTTTTGTCTGCAACAGAGGCCCGGTTCAGTTATTATTATTATTGTATTTTTTACTGTGTGTGTGTGTTTATTTTTCTTTATTCGCTCGTTTTTTTTTCTTTGCTTGCATAGGGTGCCTCGTGAACTCGTGGTGCGGTGCTCGCATTCCGCGCGGGTTTGCTTCTGCTGCCGTTCTCTCCCTCCTGCGACTGTTCACTGAGGCGTCAGACATGCATGCCCGCATTTGGGTGGGGGCAGGCAGGCAGGCAGGCGGCGCCTGTGGGGGCCAGAAGACACAAAACCGAAATTATGTTTGTTTGTTTGCTTTTTACGGGAAAAAGACTGCCGTGGGAGTTAAGCGCACGGCAGCCGGCGTTTCACGTCAACTTCGACGTCTTCACCGTCTGCCTGTGGTGGTGAACTGCCAACACGCACGTAGAAGGCGAACGATGGGGAAGGGAAAAAAGTCGGCGGTGGCGGCAGTGCATGTGGGAGGGCCCAAACGAAAAAATGCCAATGATGTCACTGCATTTGCATGCGGGGAGTGTTGGGTCGGACCAACGCCCCGCTCCCATTACGAGGAGACTCGGAAGACTATTTGTGTGAGCTGCGTTGTGCTCCCTGCACAATAACTAGTTTGCGTGTGCCTTCTTCAACGATGGCTTCCTTACTCTTTTCTTTCACAGTTTTTTTAATTTCTATTTCTATTTTTTTTTCTGCGGAGTGGTTATTCCTCGGGTCCTCTTTTTTATTACTTTTCTTCTTTCTTGTCGTCGTTGTTTGTTCCTATTAGGACTCGCCTTCCTTTCTACTTCGCAGTGGCATTGACTCGTTGGCGTGCATGGCGATGTATTACTTTTCTTGACGTGTTCGCGTCTTTAAGCTTCTCACGCCCCCCCCACCCTCTTTTTCCTTTCTCTCTCGCTCTTTCTCGGTTTTCAATTAATACTTCCTGCGTGCGTTTGGCTCTGGTGGGCGTGACGGTTCTTGTTCCTGGCCCTTGCTTCGCGCGTGGGCGTCCGCCGTTGGCGGGTGTGCGGCGACTGATGTTGTGCTCATTCGCACGCTCGCTTCTTCTTCCGCGTTTACGCTCCGTTCCTTTTTTATTGTCAGCTATCCAGCGAAATACAAGCAAAATAAAGTGGGTTTCCTGAAGGGATGAACGGCCATACGCAAGACGCTTCAACTAACACAAGCTTTAAACCTTTTCTGCTCTCTGGGGAGGTGGTGCACGGCCATGGTCGTGGTGGGACGAAACTTGGGTTTCCCACAGCCAACTTGAGGCTCAATGACAATGTGATTCAGCAGCTGCAGGCGTACAAAAACCTTGTCTTGTATGGGTGGGGAAGTGTGGTTGCGGTTCCAGGCAAGGAGGCAGGCGGTGAGGGCCCATATCCATTTGCCATGTCAATTGGCTACAACCCCCATTTCAAGGACGTGAATCTCTCGGCGGAGGTGTATTTTATGCACGAATTCGCAGAGGATTTCTACGGTGCCGTCGTGAAGATCGTCGTCTTGGGAGTTATTCGTGAGATGGGGGCCTTTGTCTCCCTGGAGGCGCTTGTGGATGCCATTAAGAACGACATAATCTTTACAAGGGGGGTGCTTCAAAAACCAGGGCTTGCGCAGCTGAAGCAACACCCATTCTTGTCTCTATCCCTCTCACCAACAGAGGCGCTGCCTCACTTCGAGACGATAGTGGTTTGAAGCCCTTTCGCCTCCATGTAAAAAGGAAAAAAAAATCGAAAAAGCAAGGTTGGATCCCCTTTCAGTGACAACAGTGTTGTCACGGTGGACGTGGTTACCTTCTAATTTGTTTATTACTTGCTACTTTCGGAAGAATAGGAACGGAAAAATGTGCTGGGGCTGCGGCAGTCGCACAGGCGGTTCCCCCTTTTCTCGCGCGGTGCGTCTGCTTCCTTCCTGGAGGCTGAGGAGCAAATTTTCTTGCCTGCAGGACACCTGCGGAGGGGAGGGGGGGGGACGGGCGTGGACAGGCATCACCCGTGTGTGACGCAAAAGGCTGCAGTGTTGTGACCGCACATGGCACCTCCTCTAAATTAGCGAGACATTTTTTTTATTGTATTATACAGAGGGAAATTCGACGTTGGTACCATGATCTGTTTAGGAAAATAAAGAGAAAAAGAAAGTAAACTTTGGGAAGTAGTGGATGTGAATTAAGGGAACCGAATGAAGGGGGCTTTAAAACTAAATATTTTTCAGTGTTTTGTGTTTGTGTTTGTGTTTTGCGGGGGAATGAGAAGAAGCTGTGTGTTGCACAGGATTTGTTTTTAATTTTTGGGATTTTTGGAATTTTTGCTGTCCTTGTGTGTCTTTTTTCGGCCTCTTTGTTTGTTCTTGTTGTTTATAGGCGGCGTCATGTATCGTTCCAGTGGAGAGTTGCGCAAGTATGCGCGGTGCGTATTTGCGCTCTACTGCGTGGATGAGGCTCTCTCCATAGCCCGCTTCCGGCTCGCCTGGTACGTGCTTTGGGGAAAGTGGCCTGATGAGCGCGTCGTGCGCCTGCTGTTTAAGGAAACGGAGGCGAGTGCTGACGGGAGTGAGAGGACTCGTGGGGAGGAGACTGTGACTGGAGAAAGTGTCACTCCTAAAGCGGTGGAGCACGACTGCCATCTTGTTGGCGATTCTTTGGCGCCCTCCGCTTCTTCCTCGGCCCTGCCTAGACGAATTTATGAGGAGGAATTTATACGCTTTGCCGTCACCTACCACGACACCATGGGAGCCGACGCGGTAGAGTTTGGTGGCGCGGAGGACACTGACGAAGCCGTGGTAGACGTCCAGCGTCCCCCGTCTAGTGTTGTGCGGGGCCGCCAGTGGGTGCAGTTCCAGTCCCTCGCCGGGTCGAAGGGGTACGTGACGCTTGACGACCTTGTCGCCACGGAGGGCGCGGAGTGGCTTCATCGGCCCATGAGTGGAGGATCAAAGGGCGGTGCTCCGGCGAAGCGTGCGGGACCCGATGCATTGGCTCCGCCGCAGGGTGATGGTGAGGGACGATTGGCGGTGATGTCGCATGTTTTTGCCATTATCGATAGGGATCGAGATGGGAAAGTTGTCTTTGACGACGTGGTGCGCCATCTTGGCACGACAGCGTGAGTTTGTGCGTGCGCAGTAGACACAAAAATGCATACTGTAGTACCTTTCTTTTGCGTGTCCTTTTATTATTTGGCTGGAAAATTTCATTGTCTTTTTTTTTTTCGTTGTTGTCTTTCTGTTGCGGAAGTATTTCTTTTTGTTGAAGCCATGCCTCTTTTTGTGTGTGTGTGCGTGCAACGTGGCTATCGTCTTCTTCTCGCCGTGGCTTCTGTCCTTCCCTCGTGGCGGGTGCTGTCTGTTTCTTTTTGCGTTTGTTTTGCTGAAGACGCACAAGGGTGGGTGTATTGCTGCTGCGGATGCCCGATTTTAGCACCCAGGTGTATTGGCACGACCTCCCCGCCTGTCCGCCGCCGTGGAAGGACGAGGCGGAACACGCACGCATGTGGCGCATTAGTCGAGGCGTTGAGGGGAACATTAGCGACCACCACCACCACCTGTTGGTGCTGCCGCGGGCAGAGCTTTTAGAGCGGCGGCGGGCGGAGCGTGCTCCCCGAAAGCGAGTGAACCGTCACTGGGGCATCGTGCTCGAGCCGTATCTTTCTCCGCTGCACGGACTCAACATGGTGATGAGCGAGCTGCAGGTGCCCCCTGTCACCACGGAGGAGGCGCGGGAGGCCGTGAAGGTTGTGCGCGAGGAGTACGACGCGATGACGCAGCACGGCACACAGTCGCGAACACTCTCACAGGGAGGTGTAAAGATTGAGACGCTCACGCAACAGAGCACCGCCGCGGCAATGGATCTCCGCGAGGCCCCGCTACTTGAAGTGGTAAAAATATTATGTGCTTCACGTCGACTTGAGGTGACGACGTTCAGTAAGGCGGAGCTTCGACGCAAGGGCCGTCTCGGGGTGGCAGATGTGTTGCCGCGGAGGCGTGTCATCATGGCCTTTGACCGCAGCAAACCGCTATTTGTCTTTGCAACTGCCGTGGTCGCGAAGAAGCGAAACGCGGCCACAGCGACGGCATGTTTTCTGCAACTTGTCGCGCCAACCTCAAATCCCGTTCCGTGGCGTCGGCTCCAGAAGGGAGTGATGCCGCATCTTCCACCCAACGAGTGCGTGGCGGTGGCAGTCCAGCGGCATCCCGACGACGACGAGGAGGACGGCGACGATGACGGCAACCACAGCAGCGGTGCATGCGGGCGGAATGAACTTTTGCTGGGCGGCGATGAAACTGACGCCGACGATGTTGGAAGGGCGGGGGTCGTTCAGCCGCGACAGCAACTAAAAGAGGAGGGGAAGGGGGACGGCAACGACGAAACCCAGCAGCGACGGAAGCGGTCGCGTGAGAACGGCGACGTCTCAGACGCGGGCGACGAGAGTGACGTCAGCGGTGACACCGCCTCTTCCCCCGGTGGGACGAGGCGAGGCGGCGTAAGTTTCTCGGGCCGGATCCCATCTTCACCGCGGAGGACAAGTTGTGCGATGACCCGCTTTTTGAGACGCCTGTTGCGGTGCTTCGGAAGGCCGCGCGGAGAACGCAGGGAGTGCACGACTGGATCCAACGCCTGGTCCGAGTAGGTGTCCGCAAGCGGCTCTACGCCATCGGTCATTGAAGTGCGCTTTCCGCTTCCCTCCCTCCCTCCCTCCCCTCAACAACTGCACCGCGAAACTCAACAACACAACATCTGTGTGTGTCTGCGTGTGTCTGTGTGTGTGAGTGAGTGAGTGAGTGTGTGGGGGGGGCCACCTTCCTCCGGCACCGGCGGGGTGTCCTTTGGGCTGCTTGTAACGTCTTCCTCCCCGAGTTCTGCGACGACGATGGCGAGCTCTTTTCTCTGCCTTGTTTTTATTTTTTGTTTTGTTGTTTTTTTCTCTTGTGTGGCTTCCTTATCACCCACTACCGACACACAACAAAAATAAAATAAAAAAACTTTGCGCATTAGGAACTGGATGATGGCTGCTTGTGAGTTGGAATACCAAGCGACGCAAAATGGGCCTATTGTCGTTGGCGGTCACAAGAATGTTATAGGGCGCGGCCCGAAGGCCTCGAACGGCTCAGCAACCATCACGAAGAAGTCTACCGGGTGGGAGGTGCTCATGTACCTTGGAATGTCACTGCGGATAGACGAGGCGATGTGCGCAATGGCGGCGATGGCGCCATCCGTTGTGGCGTTTTCGCCCTTTGAGGGGGAACATTCCGGTGTGTGGATATCCGTGGAACGAAAAGAAAACAGGCCTTTATTGGAGGCGATCTACAACGAACTGCGGAAGGCAAGTGCCCAAACGCATGGCTACAATAAAGTCATGGACGCCGCCCGCTGGAATGTATGTTTGATTGATGTGACTGACGGGATGTGCCGGCCCTGCGTGGCAGACGTTAAAGTTGGGTATGTCCGCCACTCCCCACACACGCCTCTAGAGAAGGTGGAGCGTATCAATAAGAAGCGGCTGGTCCAGCCGCTAGCCCTCCGTCTGTGTGGTGCCCTTCACCAATTCTACCGCACCATTTCGAATACGCAACATTTTGAAAACGAAATGTGTGAAAAGGATGTGGGGTACCTCTTGCATACAGAGGAAGACTATCGAGATTGTCTGCGGGCCTTTTTCTCATCCAGAGTCAGTATGAGGCCCGACGGGACGGGGATGAGGCGCGATGACAGTGAGGTTTTCTTTGCGCGTTTAAAAGCGTGTTGTGGTCAGATAGAGGAACTGCTTCTTTTTTTCACCAG